TATGATGAGTGGTGTATGATGAGTGGTGTATGATGAGTGGTGTATGACGAGTGGTGTATGATGAGTGATGTATGATGAGTGGTGTATGATGAGTGATGTAAATGTTCGTAACACGGAAGTTCCTCTAAACTTCCTTTGACTAAATATATATATATATGTTATTTTTAGTGCTACTCTATTTATTGTTTTTTGATTTAAGGGGGGGTAGGCCGCTAAAGTAGAGATGAGGTAGGCTAGCTACAGGTAGCTAGTAGAAGAGGTAGCTAGTAGCTTAAGTAGCTACTACTGACAGGACGCAGGATAGCTCACGCTTCTTCAAGGAAGATCACCCGCCGCTCTAAATGCAGTGGGGGAAGCTTCTGAAGCGCTCGCACTAATCACAAATGATTTCGTTCCTGGATGTTTAGAGAAACTTTATACATAAATACAATCTCTTGGAATGTAGACCCCTTTGGACCATGGAAGACTGCTTGAGGATGCCAATCCAATCCATATTGAAATTTCAGTTGCCAACAGGTAAAATTTGCACTAGATGGTCCTTGATCCTGACTGGTTGGTTTAACCGCTGCTATAACACGCTGAAAACATGTAAGTCATTGTCAGTCGATTGGGATATTGATACTCATTCCAATAATACAAACGCATAATTCAATTTCCTGAAGGGTGTCCACAAGGGAAATGTTTTTCGCCGCAGAAGACCATCAAACACATCTAGGAATCGACTCCTTGACTTAGGAATCCAAACTCAGCTAAAGCAAAATATGATCATACTTGTGCCTTACCCCACAGAGTCCCAACACAAATGCTCAATCAGACTGGGTATAACGTTCCGTTTCCACGAATCGAAAGGCGCCCTGCCGGCAAGTCTGGTGAGAAACCAAAAGGATGCTTTTGCTGTTTGGAATGCCACAAACAACGATTTCCGTGACACGGTGGGTGGTTCGCAGGCCCCTCCTCTTCGGAACACTGTAAACACACAACGTTTTTGTTTTGCTTTTTTTAGACCACCATTACGTTTTGGTACACTCTTTCAACTCATTGGCATGTTCTACTCTCGGATGTTCCTGCAGAGAGCTCGCTGTTGATAATCTTTGGTGTGACATAGTCCTTTTTCCCCTCCGCCATTGAGGCCATCACCTTGTGAGCACTTCCGAGCGTCACTCGTTTCACGGGGAAGCGACACAAGGTGTGACACCCTGGACCTTGAAAGCTCCGAAACAACTCCACGACTCGTTTAGAAACTGATGTTGAAACGATTGTAAGCCGATGTTGTTTTGTCAAATAGGGGGTCCCCCAAATTTGGATATATATATATATCCAACATGGATCCCATTGAAGAACCAGGGTTTCGGTCAGTAGGACTCAGCTAGGGCAACGAAGGTTTGGCAGTCTAAGTGGTGTGTTGAATTGGGCAGCCACACACACCCAGGAGAGTGGACAGTTTCGCTTCGGCAGTCAGCTAGCAGGCAGGTTGATATCCTCTAAGCCCCCCTTCAGTATAATTAGCCAACGTGCCAACGTAGTATCAATAGTTAGATAGGAACAAGAGGATACCAACCTGCCTAGCCAGACAGACAGCCAAACAGTCGGCTAGACAGCCGAAACGAGAGAGGCAAAGACAGCCAGAGTAGACAGCCAGGGTGGACAGGCAGTATGGACACAAGGGTTGACAATTGATTCTTCTTTCTGTTTCGCAATATCAAGGCATATGCTACTAGTAACTAGTAGATCGTGCAAATGCCAAGTTGCCTCATCCAGAGACATCCCATGCACAGTCCAATGCACAAGTGGTTTGTCCTTGGATGGAATCTCGAACTTTCAACGCCAAAACTTCAAAACTTCAACTAATTAAGCTACTAATGGCTTCTTGCTGCTGGTAGTAAGGCCAGGAGTTACTAGTAACTAGTAGCGTCCGCTCCTAGTAGCGATGCCCGTTCCTCGTAGCGGTGCCCTTTGTTACTAGTAGCATCCTTGCTCCCTGTGTTATACCGTTATACCGGAATTCAAACGGAAATACAGCTTCGGACCGTCAGGGGCCTCCCACATACGGACCGCCCCAAGCCACCCTACGAAACATCGATATCAACGCCCGGGCAAAAAGACCAACCCCTTGTTGACGATTGTGAAAAAACTAGACGACGAGTGGCCCGAAAGCGTTTTTCATCACGTAGGAAGTCAGAGTGCGAGTTATCTGTTAAGTGTGTTATAAGTGTTCAGTGTGAAGTGTTAAGTCGAGTGTGTTGAGGCAGTGTGTGGGTCTCTGTGTGTGTGTATCTATGTCTGTGTGTGTATGTGTCTCTCTCTGTATGTCTTTCTGAAGCGCAGGAACACCTGTCTTCTGCAAGTTCTTCACCTCTCGAAAGTCGCCTCCGCGTAGTAAAGTTGTACTACAAAGTCGCCAGTTCTCATCTTCCAGCTCCACAGATTGCTCCGTGTACTAAAGTTCTACTACCAAGTCGCCAGTTCTCATCTTCCAGCTCCCCAGATACTCCGCGTACTCAAGTTGTACTACCAAGTCGCCAGTTCTCAT